CTCTCTCTCTCGCTCTCTCTCTCTCTAGATTGATGTTCTTTGGCGCTTTGCAGCCAGCGCTTCATTTTTGGAATCAGACTCATCCTCATCCGATGAACTACCATCGTAGTACGACAGCAGAGGGAGCTGTTGGAAGCGTCTGGCGGCGCCTGGTAGGCCCTGAAACGGCCAAAAAATACCAGGGGCATATTTTGGGGGCTGCCTAGGACCCGAAAAACTTCCTGGTTCCCCCCCCAAAAAAAATTGAATTTTACAAAATTGGGCCCAATCCAGACCTACCGGACCAGACAACCGGACCGTCTGGATTCCGGTCCAGATGCCCGGCCGGTTGCCATGAAAAAAATGGAACAAAGGGGCCTTAAATCCCAACTTGAAGGCAAATGTGTGTTTTCATGCAAAATTTGCTGTTTTCACATTTTAAGGGGTAACTTCAGTAGACTATGTGTGGAACATCCATTCGATTGTGGAGCGATCGTCTCTGGGGGCGCAGCGCGATCGGGAGCGCTGCGCCCCCACCGGAGCAATTTCAGACACGAAGCGGCGTGACGCGGGATGTGTCGGAGAGCCAGGCGACGCGATGGGCGGAGGCGCAAGGATGCGAGGTGAGTGAAGGGCACGTACGGGAGAGCTGGCAACAAGGTGGACGGGGGGATATGGTGGCGCGCGGTACAGGAGATGGGGTATGTTGGGCAGTGACGGGCAGGGGGTGTGGAGTTGCCGGTCTAGGTTAGGGCTTGTCATCCTTGGTTGAAAACCCTTCGTTCTTCCTCAACGGTATGGTATGGGTATAGTTTAGGTGGTTTTGAACCCCCTGTGGCGACTCGTCAACAGGTTTGGCGAGGGGGTGTCACACCGTTTTTGATTTTCTTCGGGGGATTGAAGATGGTTGATCATGTCCTTGGTGCCTGCTTTGCTTTGAGCCTAGATGCTGGCAGCGGGAGGAAAGGAGTTTTCCTTCCCCAAGGATGCAGGGGTAGGGTTTGAGAGGTGTGAGGTAACCGAGGTATGGTTGAAGAAGAAGGGATGGGAGACTGCTTTCTATTGGATTAGGATTCTGCCCACACATGGCTTGGCTATCTGATTTGGGGCTGTTTTTTTCTGAATTTTTTCAGAGCTCCCATACATAATTGCTTGTATTAGTCCACGTTGCATCAATCTACACTTAGTGTCTTTCTAATCTTCTCAGATGGTTTCTGGATGAAATCTTTCTCAATACTTGTATTTTGTGAGCAAGAGTCATAATCTGGAACTCGTAGTTAGAATTTTCTCAACAAGGATTTCTCAGTTCTCGATTTCCATAATCGTTTCTCTCTAGTGTCATTCTTAATTTTTTTCGAATAATTGTGATCTATCTTTGATTTCCTTCTTAATTTTTCCATGGTAGAGGTTCGAAATCCAGGCAAGCCTCAATCCCGGTGGTTCTCTTACCACCACCAGGATAGAGGCCTTGCATAAGGGCCTTTCTCAAAAAAAAATAAAAAAAATAAAAAATAAAAAAATCTAATGAACATTGTTTTTTGAATACCTAATTCTAAATTCGTTCTATCTCGTATCTCTTTTCTTAATAGTATTTATTTTTGAATACCTAATTCTAAATTCGTTCTATCTCGTATCTCTTTTCTTAATAGTATATCTTGTATAAATCTAATTCCTGTTTGTAATCGAATTCCTACATTTATTGAGTCGATATGTGGTTTTTCAAAATGCGACCTAATTCTACTCGTGAGATTCTCGTCAGACTTCTGAACAGGGGGCTCATGAGATGGTCAAATGGAATCTCCCGCAGGGTCTGGGGGTTTCTTGCTTTGAAGTAGGGGGTGGAAGGCATCAAAGGATTCCTTGCAAGGATAGAGAGGGGGTAAAATAGGGCTGGTCAACGGGTACCAGCTAGGGGGAGCTCTTAACAGATGCGATTGGCGGTGGGTAGTTAGGCTGTCCAATGGGTACCGGCTGTTGAGGGCGACCTTTAGCGCGATTGGCGTTGGGCAGTGTTGTTCACTTCCTTGATGATGGAGACTGGAATTCTTGTGGGGACAAGGAATTTCAGGGTGATGATGGTGCCTCCCCCCTGCTGAGATAAGCTATTCTCTGGGCTCCTTACGAGGACGGAGTTGGGAAGGTGAATAAGGTCCTTCCCTTCGATGATGGAGGCGGGATCTTCCAGGTCGTCTGTTTCAGGGCTTGCTGGTTTCCTATTTTTGTTCTATATTTCGTCAGAGGTTTGTCAGAGGTTCGTCAAGTTGTTAGAAGTTGTCAGAAGTTTTTTTGTAGCCAAGGCCTGGTAATGGCTCTGGCATTTCATTTTTCTCCTATTAAAACCTAACAGGACATCTTGTGGAGCTTTTGGGGACCTGCTTTGAAGTAAGGGGCTAGGGGCATGAAATGACTCTTTACAAGGACGGAGAGGGGGAGGAAATAGGGCTGCTCGATGGGTACCGGCTAGAGGGGCCTCTTATCAGATGCGATTGGCGTCAGGTAGTTTAAGCTGGCTGATGGGTACCGGCTGATGAGAGGGAACTCTGGCGCGATTGGCGTTGGGTAGTGCTAGTTCACCACCTCGACGATGGAGACTGGGATTCTTGTGGGGGCAAAGAATGTCAGGGTGATGATGGTGTTCGGCCCCCGCGGAGAAGAGGCTCTCTGAAGTTCTTCACGACGACGGAGTTGGGAAGGACGGAGGTGATTTGGAAGGAGGAAGTTGGTAGTGGATGCGATTGGCGCTGAAAATTCAGCGGGTACCGGCCACCGGCCGCTAACTTCACCCAGATCAGTCTGCGTTTCTTCCCTTCGATGATGGAGGCAGGACTGTTCTGCGGGGCTATTTTTCCAAAAAGAGGTTGAGTGGGATGAATAGATGGTTGGATATCAAGCATCCTACTAGTGAGGGGGCTAGCTTGTAGAATGGAAATAGGGCACAGCAGCAGTGGAGATGGTGGCTCTGCTGCAGTAAGTCTTGCCGGAGTAAGGTACAGAGGATATGATGGGGGGGTTATCTGAGTTGTTTTCTGAATTTTGGCTATTTTGAAGCTTCGGTAGTGATTTTCTCAGTACATCAAACTCTTCTTAGCCTTGTGATCCTAAATTTTCAAAATTCTTTCAAAATTCTATGTCAACTTTCATATGGGACGTTGGGCCCGGTTCCCAGCACGTGCTGCTCCTTAAAAAGAAAATAAAATCGGAAGCATGGTTTGGTAGAAATTTTGGGTGGGCTCATACAGGAGGGGAAGGGTGGCTCAGGGTGGTAAGTCTATCAGAAGGACGGGGTGGGGCGACCGTGGCCGGTGCGGGAGCAGTGGATCTGTGACCATGGGGAGGAGATTGAGGCCAGTGGAGTTTGCCGAGGGTGAAGGCATAACCACCTCTTTCAACGTAGCTGAATCTGGGGCAGTGACCCTGTAACCCGGTAGGGGGTTTTGGCAGCTAAGGCAGTTGTCGAGGGAGGAAGACGCTTCCTGTCCGTCAGAAAACAGTCAGTTCGGTGCTGGGGCAGCTTGTGTTGCCTTGTAACCCTAGCAACGGGGGTGTGAGAACTGGCGACTTCTGGTACGAGGACTGAAAGCTTGAGTGACGGTTTCTCGCCTGTAGTGTGGGTTTGGTTTGGACTGATGGTGGTTTCAGCTCTGATTTTCGTTTCTCTAATTTCCTTTTTTAAGTTTTTTGAAATTTTCTTGAACTTCTCAGAAAAGGGGTGAGTGGGATAAGTAGATGGTTGGATATCAAGCGTCCTATTAGTGAGGGGGTTAGCTCGTAGGATGGAAATAGGGTACAGCAGCAGTGGAGATGGTGGCTCCGCTGCAGTAAGTCTTGCCGGAGGGAGGTAA